GGACCAGGTTGCCCAGAGGGGGGGTGGCAGCCCCATCCCTGGGAGTTTTTCAGGCCAGGCTGGACGGGGCTCTGGGCAGCCTGATCTCGTGGGGATGTCCCTGCCCATGGCGGGGTTTTGGAACCAGGTGAGCTTTAAGGTCCCTTCCAACCCTGACAATTCTAGGATTCTATGATTCTATACTGTTTTGGTTTTTTGAGTTTTTTTTTTGTTGTTTTTGTTTTTGTTTTTGGCAGGGGAACCTTACGCCCTTAGTATCCCTTCGTGTGTGTTGTGGTTTGTTGGGTTTTTTTAATCTACTGCTTTTGCAGGGTGGCACATAGGTCTTCCTGCGGTGTTTGGATGGGTCCAGAGTAAAACAAAAATAAAGCTGTATGTACACAAAACCAAAACCCTAAGGCAGCATTGTGCTTCTGATCGTTTTTGCAAAGACCTCACGTACCATACGCCCTTAGTATCCCTTCGTGTGTGTTGTGGTTTGTTGGGTTTTTTTAATCTACTGCTTTTGCAGGGTGGCACATAGGTCTTCCTGCGGTGTTTGGATGGGTCCAGAGTAAAACAAAAATAAAGCTGTATGTACACAAAACCAAAACCCTAAGGCAGCATTGTGCTTCTGATCGTTTTTGCAAAGACCTCACGTACCATGAATTTAGATACAACTTAGTGAGGGATGAACGCTGCTGGATAAATAGCATGGGGTGAAGCTTGTTTTTCTAAGCCGTGGTTTATAACTGCGTGGTGTGGGGTTTGTTTGTCTTCAAAGATATCCTCTGCTGCCTGCGGTTATGGATTCACACTGCTGGCTTCTAATACCAAAGACATCACCAAAGTGTGGGGCATGGGCCTGAACAAGGATTCCCAGCTTGGATTCCAGAGAAGCAGAAGGGATCGAAGTAAGGATTGACATCGTTTAAAGACTTACAGGGCAGCACTACAGGATACCCGTGTTGTGGGAAACTTCACCCCAGAAGGCAGGAAAAGTGTCCAGGAGGCTTTAATGCAGAGTGTGGGGCTCTGCTTTTATTTTTTTCTCCCTTTTTATTTTTGGAACTTACTTGTGGTGTGCTTTACAACTGGCCCAGGTGTGTGTCTACCCTGTGCACTGCGTTTACTTTCTTGCCTGGATGTAACTAAAATCTAAGTGACCATTTATTCTGCAGAAAATGTGTGTGTGTGTTGGTTAGAGTGTTGCTTTGAATCTCTCTAGTTTGATAATAAACAACGTAGTGGCCTAGTTAATAAAGCAGTTTTGGCTCACTTATGTTGCCTTTACACCTATAAACTAATTTTATTTCCCACACAGATCTTTTTATACAGTCAGTGGAATTACTTTTGTGAAGCTCTGCTTTTTATTTTGATACCGAATTACAGTTTGAAGGAAAACCATGTCATTCTGTCTTATACTAGGCGCTCAGACACATTTAAGGTGACGATTTCTGTGCAGAACGTTGCCACTTCCCACCTAAGACAGATGCGAAAAACTCGCATTTACTTCTCTTACAGAAGGGCTGTCTCTAGCTGTTTGACAACATCCCCCCACAAACAGCTGGGGAAAACCATGTTAAAAGCGATTTTCCCCTTTGTAGTGTGTGAGAGCACAGTCCATTGCAGCGTGGTGCATCTGACACGGGCCAAAGATTAAACTTTGTGGAGAAGCAGAAGAGGTTGCCGAGGCGTGCAGTGGTGCTGCTGTGGGCTTCCAGGGGTGTGTAACAGAGCGAGGGGGTAGGCTTGACCAGCAGCTGCTGGGCAGAGGGTCCGCAGAAGCCTCCCCTCACGTCTGCTTTCAGAGTTTTAGCTTTTACTCGTTGTTCTGCATGTGCTGGTGTCTCAGGATTGTCTTGTCATTTTCTTGATTTTCATCTGGCCTGTGCATTGCTTTTGTCAGAGAACCTGGAAATAGGTTAAATAGTTTTGCAGTTCAAGCCCTTCGGAGTAAAAGAGCGTTCCGTGTTTGGTAGGATGCCCTGAAAGAGCGGTAAGATTGCTACTGCTCCGTACTTAACTTCCCACAGACAAGTTTCCCGTTGGAGGTGCTGCTCATTACTCAGTTTTGCAAACTTACTTCGGTACCCACTAGTTTCAACGCTGTGTCCCTGTATGCTTCATTTCCAGGGTGATTAACAGCCTTCTCACTTGTAGAGGGACGTATTTCATCCTCTAACTGCAGCTGTTTCTAAGCTAAACTACTGATATTTTACTCTCATCCTCCTCTTCCTTAGCCACCCCGTTACCTCATGTCTTCAAAACCCCTCAGGTATCAGTGATGGTTACCACAGACCCCAGTAGCCTGTGTTGCTGTGCTGGAAGGATCAGGGAGAGAGGAGAAGGCTGTTTGCTTTGTGATTTCCACATCTCTCTAGACACACACAAACTTCACTGCCTTCCAGTTCCTGCCATGTTCCGTGGCAGACTCCCTCCGTTTGCCCACAGCCAGCTGTGATGCCTGTAGTTGTGTCAGGTAGTGTCTTACTGTCAAAGGGTATGTGTAGGTTTTTCTGGGTTTTTTTGCTTTGTTTTTACCTGAACGCAGTGAGAACCAGTTAAAGCACTGCTGTGTGTGAGCAGAATACTGCTTTGGGACCTCTGAGATTTGATTTCACTTGTTACAGTGGCTTTCTTTGATATCAAAGCTTTTTATCTCCCCTTAACCTTTTTCCTTGGTACTGATTTATGTTTTGCTGTTCTTTTTTTCCCCCTTTGTTATTCCCAGTTGACTGTACCTGATTACATATTCTTCAAGTTACTAAGTTATCTTTTTCTAGTACAGCCTGTCATTTTCTTTCATATATGTTAGATCTCTTATCCCCTATGGAGCCAGGCTAGCTGATGTTTCTTGCTTTCCTTTTTTTCTGAAAGGGCCTTTAATCTACTGTTGTTTAAAGACAAAGCTGTAAGATTCTTTTTGTTCACCTTACATGCTGTCCCTTTGTGACTGCTGCTCTTGTACCTTGTTTGCAATATCCCTCGTTGCACAGGGCACTTAATTTGTGCTTAGTGTTAAGCTCTCTAGTAATCCAGCCTTATTCACTAAGGTGGTGGAACTTAGGGCGAAAGCCTCAGATTCTCAGTTCTGGCCACCTGAAGCCTTAATCACATTCAGCCTCTAGGTGTGGGGGGTTGTTTAGGCAGTGATTACTGGCTTCAGCCATCCCTGTTGCTTCTGACTTCCCCTTGCCCCCCAGGGAATCCCAGTCAGCCTTCTGCTGTGGCTTTTCTGAAATAGATCTGCTTTTGTAACAGAACACAAGTGACAGTGTGTATGTACGTTGGCAAATGTATGACGACTTTGCTCTGTAGAAGCTACTGACTTTTTAAGTTTCTCTCTTTTCCTTAAGTGAAGGGCTATGAATATGTCTTGGAACCATCTCCGATTCCGTTACCACTGGAGAAGCCGCAACAGACTCGAGTCTTGCAGGTGTCCTGTGGGAGAGCCCATTCCCTGATCCTGACAGACAGCGAAGGAGGTACGGTATCACTTGTGCTGCTGGCAAGGAATGCCTGACTATGCTTTTATAAAAGCTCCAAAAAAGATTCTCTTCTGTCCTCCAGAACCAGACCGCAGCTGTGCTGTCTGCACTGTAAATGTGGTGCAGGTAACTGTTGGCCTTTTTGGGACTGCTCCTGTGAGGGAGAGCCTTAAGTTGATAAACGTGCCTTGAGCTCCGCTTGGCTCAAGCTATAAACGTGTTGGAAGCTTTTTCACTACAAATCTTGCAAAATACGATTTGTTTATGTAGCCCCAGGCCTTGTTTAAGTGTAGCCTATTTGTCTTGTCCGGTCAGACATGTTTTCGAATTCCCTTTTGGATGGCTATGCCAATACTCCTGTATTACCTTCCCCTTGAAGCCCCAGAGTGCTACATTTATAAAAGCGATTAATTAATAGGCCTTTACGCCGGAGATCCTGTCTGTGAATTGGCTCACCGTGTCTCTGGGAATTCTCTGGCGCGGTGGCTTCGGCGCTGCGCTGAGCGATCCGGCGCTGCTTATCAGTGGGGGAGCTGGTTGGCAGGTTGATGTAACGCTCCTGTGGGAATGCTGATCTATTTCTGAGTCTCCTTGGCAACGGCGGGATGAACGAGGCAATTACTGAAAAAAAGCCAGTGGGCTCCAGGTACTGCTGCTGCGCCTGCAGCAATAGCGCTGGGGTGGTGTTGACAAAAAGGGATTCAGTCACTTGAATTTAAGTGGACTTGGTTTGAAGAAAGCTTATGGCAATTTTTACAGTATCTGTGTTCGACCTTTCAGACAGAGCACTGTGTGGAGGTATTTTGTGTGCCTGAAAAGAGGCTTTTGGGGATTGGACAGTAATAAAACTAGTGCATTTTACTGTTGTTTTTCAGTTTTCACAATGGGGAACAATTCTTATGGACAGTGTGGCCGGAAGGTTGTTGAAGATGAAACTTACAGGTGAGAATCCAAAGATCCTGAACTTCCTTTACGTTAGAAACATAATTGTGTCAAAACAACCCTGCAGAAAAGCCTGGAGGTGGGAAAAATCCGGTAGCTTGAGGATGCCATTTAAGATTAAGGAGTCTGAGAACAGGCTTTTATGCCACAGGCATCGTATAAGCGGCCTGGCTCTTCAGCCAGGCTGGGCGCTGGCTGTCTTCTGACCACATCCACAAAAGGCAGAGAGATGTCAGCACATGACAGCTTTCACAGGGCGTAGCGAGAAAACCCAGCCTCCAGAAACTGAGTGAGGTGGGTGGTGTTGGTAGTCGGCCATTCTCTGAGTGCAAGTGCCATTTCTGAGGGTGCTTCTTTCATCATTTACTGATGGAAACAGCATCCTTTTGGTGAATCTCTTTGCTGTAACTGGCTTTGAATCCATAGTGGTTTTCTTTTACAGGCTCTTTGTGGGCCACAGTGAAGCATATTCTCAAAATTCTCTTTAAGATAGTAGTGATGTAAGCAGGTGATGGGAATATGTTGAGAGTTACTGATACCCTGGCATAGACTAGAAGAGAACTTGCTCATCACTTTCTCTGTGGTCCACAAAACTTGCCCTGTAGAGTTTAAGAAAAATAGCTGTGATTTAGGCAGCTTTTTTTCGCCTCCGTACTGGAAGTTAGTCATTGGTTTGTTCAGAATTCCTGTTTTTGTGAAAGAATGACAACATGGATGCTAACAGTGCGCTGTCTGTGTTCTGGGATATGTGGTTAATCGGTGGTTAAGTGTAGTGTTTGTGTAGGTGCTGCAGTATTATCTAGTGTCTGTGATCCTCCTAGACTAGGGAATGTGTTTGAGAATTGCTCCCACCCCCGGTTCCCGGGAGAGGTTATATTAAAAGTGACAGTTTCTTAACTTCTTAAATAAGAGAATACAAAATTGCTTTCTTCCTATGTGCAGTAATTTTCCAGTGGAGCTATGCTCTTTGAATAGGTAAGAGGACACGTGAAAGAATCTCCTCTCTTCTTAAAATAACACAGTGCTTTTCAGTAAAGGCAGGTCTACCTTCAGGACTTTTAGTTGCAGTCCTCTGAAATCCTCTTGTGTTGCCTTTTCTCTTCTCGGTGGTTGTTTGGTGGTGTCCAGTGAAAGCCATCTCATTCATCAGCTGAAGGAGTTTGACAGCAGAATTGTCCAGGTAAGAGGATCATCTGAACTGGGCTCTGAAGGTGGATTGAACACAGGCTGAACAACTGAGCCCAGAGGGTGGCACGAAGACTAGTTGAATGCCAGAAACTAGTCCTGTACCCCGGGGTCACTACTGGATCCAATCCTGTTTAATGTTTCCACTAATGGTGTCGGTGATGGGACAGAGTGTAGACTCTGCAAGTTTGCAGAGAACATAAAACTGGGAGGAGTGGCTGATAGACCAGAGTGTGGTGCTACTGTCCTGGGCCTGGAGAAGTGGGCTGGCTTGAACTTAGTGAAGGTTGGCAAGGGGAAGAGCAGAGTCCTGCCCCAGGGGAGGAACAGCCCCAGACACTTGGGGCTGACTGGCTGGGAGGCAGCTCTGTGGAAAAGACCCTGACGCTCCTGGTGAACACCAAGGTAACCATGAGCCAGCAGCCTGCCCCTGCTGTGGAGATGACTTTCAGAGGTTCCTTCCAAACTCAAGCAGTCTGTGATTCTGTAATGAAAAGAAAAAAAATATATTGTTATGCAAATCATTTGGTTGAAGCTCTTTGAAATGACAAGGCAATCTATTATATGGATGCTTATAAAAAGCACGGGGTGGCAGTTTGCGCTGTGCCCCTGCAGAGCAGTTGCAACTGGCAGCGCAGGGTCTGAACTTGTTTGCTCAGCTCTGGGTGACACCTGCACGGCAGAGAGGTCGTTCTGACACCTCGTCTCTTCCTGTCCTGATTTCTTGTTCCTCTTTGTCACTTTTATATCACTTGAGAACTGTTTTATTTTGAGTTTTATCTTCCCGGTTTCAAAGTGAGCTGTGAGACTGTGCACTTTACACTAGGCAGCATTTCCCCAGGCAGTGTTTCCAGGTACGGGAGCAGCTCACTGGTACGTCTGCGCCGTTGGAGCAGCACTCTGTGGGCAAACAGTGCTCCTGTTCCACGCAGCATTCTAGAAAGCAGGGCTCATTCATTTAGGCCTTCGTGATGAGAGAGTATGCTGTGTTACATCCTCATGATGTTTTGAATTAGGCTTCTGCTCAGATTGGTCATGATTTTATTTTTTTTAAGGGACTTGAGTAGTTGTGCAAACATATTAGTTTTGTACTTTGATTATGTGCTCAGTATTCTTGGTAATCACTCTCTTAACTTGTGGATTAAATCCCTTTAATCTTTGGCTAATTTTTAATGTCTGCTTTTGAAGATCTTGTCTCTAGTTCATGCCAAGCCTGTGGCAGACATGATTGCTAGTTCAACATAAATGTTGATTTGAGAACACATGTGTTCCTAGAGCACTTACATGGCAAGGAATCAATAACAGTTTGTCGCTGGCACTGAGAGCCATGTGGTAGCAGTCTGGGAAGGGAGTTCTCTTACTCACTCTTTGCTGTTTTATTGTGTAGTACTGTTGAATCAAACTTTCTGCTAACTAGGCCTTGTTTTGGATCTTGGAACAAATCAACTGCAGCTTCACTTTCCACAAGAAAATGCCTCTGTTTTCTGTATCGTGCAGTTCTGAGCCTTGCCTGTCTGCAGACCCACTTGGTGGGGAAAGAAAAGTCAAAATCTGAGTTGCTGGATGTTGTAGAGGGTCAGTGCTCTGTTTACCTGCCAGTAGTGCTTTGTTAAATCCATTCTGAAGGCGTGACCTTTCCTGATCAGCTCTGACTTTTTGTTTGTGTGCAGGTGGTGTGTGGGCAGGACCACAGTCTGTTCAGAACCAAGAAAGGTGCCATCTATGCGTGTGGGTGGGGAGCTGATGGACAAACAGGTAGGAGCTCAGCTCGCATTTGGGTGAGTTGATGATACAGAAAAGCTGTCCTAATTCAGAGCTCGTGATGTATGTTCGGACAGAAAGGACCTGATGTGTTTCCAGCTGTGTGCAGATGTTCTCAGTGCTCTTGTGTTCCCAAACTGACACAAAGCAGTTCATTTTTAGAGGATCTTTAGGATGTCATGCTGGTAATCGAGGCATGCAGTCTGAGGAGAACGTATCAGCTCTTTGAGGCTTGTGAGGGGATGTGGAAGTGGCACAGGAAGGTTAGCTCCCTGCTTCTGTGCAGGCTTTGCCTTCCTGATTCTTGTTTCAGGGTCTGTTTCGCTTTGTTTGTGGCTGCTTGTCCACTGAAGCTGGTAGTTAAGAGAGAAGGACAGAAAGATTTATTTCAGAGGAAGGGCGATTGGGTTATAACATGACATAAGTGGTTCTACGTAAGTGTTAAAAGTATGTCTGGAAAAATATTCTTTATCATCTCTCTCTACTTTTTTCCTTCCAGGTCTTGGGCACTACAACATCACCAGTGTTCCCACGAAGCTACGAGGTGACATTGCTGGAGTAAACATTGTCCAGGTCTCTTCCTATGGGGACTGCTGTCTAGCTGTTTCAGATGAAGGAGATGTCTTTGGTTGGGGAAATTCAGAATACTTGCAGTTGGCATCTGTCACAGAAACCACGCAGGTCAGTTGGCCTTGGGGCGTGTTTTCACATGTTTCGGTTCAGCTGCTGCGCAGAGTTAAAAATGACACACTTCTCCCTGCTCTGGGTTCTTTTTCCAGCAGTATAAATCAGTATAAACTAGCACCACTAGCAGGCTGGTTTTACCTATTCTCACAAGACCAACCTGTCTGAAGTGTTTTGTATAGCTTTAGGGCAGGAGGTTACCCAGCTGTTGATAGGCAAAGGCTCGTGTCACCTCACCCTGGTTTGTTAGTGTGTTACAAGAGTACACCCTGTATTCTCCTCTCTCTGTGCCATGGACTTCACACCAAACTGAGGTCCAGCTCGAGTGCCTGTGCTGGTTTTGGGACAGGATTTAGTCTTTTCGCTGGCTAATCTAGAATTTTGAGTGGCCCTGCTTTGAGCAGGGTGCCAGACCAGATGACCCTGGGAAGTCCCCTCCAGTCAACTCTCATGTTGGTGAACAGGTTTATAGCTCAGTCTTAAACACATTCACGTATCTCAGAGTTTTTGGAGCAAATTTACGTGAGGCAAAAATACAGTGCTGACTTGACACTTGGTATTGCAGTACCGAGGTAGTTAGGCAGGTGGTCTCCCCTTACAGGTAGTTAGGAAACGAAGTCAGGGAATCAATTAGTACGGAGGCTGTGCTTGGTAGAAGGCTGAGGACAGACAATTGCATTCATATGGCTTTAGTAAAACAGGTTCTTTTGTTTCCTGTGCCTCTCCTGATGTGTCCTTAACGTAGGGCAGTAACTGAGACCAGTAAGGCCTGAAGCAGTGAGCAGGGCAGTGCTGTAACGGCTGGGTGCTCGAGGGAGGTCCGAGGGGTCTAAAATGGGTGAATGGCACATTTGCCAAAGGGGGAGCTTTGAGGACAGTACAGTCCCAGCTGTGGAATAGTGGAGCTGGATATCATCTGTGAAACCTGAGGCCGCTGTTTACGTGTGTCAAGCCCTGTAGGTTTCTGTTGTTTTGAACTGTACCAAATAAGAGTGATTTTCTTTGAGTGATTTTTTTTTCCCTAGTATGTTAAAAAATGCTGCCACAGGCCAAATTTTAGTTGCAAAAACTTGCAGCTGTGCTCACCTGTTGATTTTTTCCATTGTGCCTAACTTAGAGGGTCAGGGATATAAGGAGAGAATAAGCATTCCTGGCTTTGTTGCCATGCATGTAAACCTTCCAGTAGGTAACTTTCTCCACTTTGTCCTTACTCTCAGCCTTAATGAATTTCATGTAGTTTTTTTCAACTTGGGACTTGGCATTTGTTCTGTTACTGAGGCGATAAAGGTTGTCTGTATCTGGAATTCAGCGTACGTAAGCTCTAACCACAACTAGAGAACAAGCTGAAAATGCGTGTCTAGTTCACAGCAACTCTCTTGCAACCTCCTACAGGTGAATGTCCCCAGACATTTGCCGTTCAAGATTGGGAAGATAAAGGAGGCTGCGTGTGGTGGGACTGGCAACGCTGTGCTCACGGGTGAGTTCGCTTTTACAGTCATCCTCTCCAGGGCAGAAGGTGGGTGGTAACACTGTGGAGCAAGCAGCCTGTTTACTGGAAACAGGAAAGTACCCTCTGTTACAAAGAGAAAGCTGGGAAGTGTTTCAGCCTGTACATGGGGAGTTATTTTCACTGGCCGCAGAGCGTTGCTTCCAGTTTGTGCTGCTGTGTTTATGCAAACTAGAACAAGAGCCTGGTTGCTGCCAGCAGTTCTGATTTCATTTGCTGATCGCAAACAGGCTGTGTGTGGCCTGTAATGAAGATGGGTATAGGAGGGAAATAAGGTGACATTTGAGAGAACGAATAGCCCTTCAGACACAGTATAAATCTGACAAATAAATTTTGAGAAACTAGGCTGGAAAGTAGAGAGTTCTGAGAACAAGTAAACTCTGCAGTGGGCTGCTTACTGAGCGCTGCTCTGGATTGCTTGTGGCCAGGGGAGCACAGCTTCAAAGTCATCGGGTAAAGGAGGGAGGGACAGGGTTGTACTATTACGAAGCGTCGTCTCGAGGAAGATGTTCGTATATATGATATGGTTGTTGCGATGACAAGACATGGGAGCTTGCAGCATGAGGGGAGCAGAGCCAGCAGACCCAGCAACTTGCTCTGTCTCATGGTGTCCAACTGCTGCCTTTCTCAGGCCCTTGGGGGAAGGCAGGGTGCCAGGCAGAGCGGCGAGCCTGCTGCTCGTTTGGCCATTCCTCAAAGGGAAAATCGGTGATAATAAAACACTCGACCTCTGTCCCATCAGTCCGTTGAAGTATTTTATCCAGCCCGCACTGTTGGTGTTATTTCCCCTTGAAAGCTTTGCCCGTGGAGCTTGATCTGCGTGCAGACAGAGCATAGGAAAGAATGAAGGCGTTTGGTTAGGAATGCATTGGGTATGAATTTTAAATAATTAAGAGGTGCTAGACTGCTCTGGGAGAAAGGAAACTATCCCTTTGGATTTGATTAACTCTTGGTCATGGCACGAATTTCACAAGCGGAGGCTTTCTTAGAGAATGTGTTCTTATTGCACTGCAGAAGAAGGAAATGTTTTTGTCTGGGGATATGGAATTCTTGGGAAAGGACCAAACCTAATAGAGACGGCAGTGCCAGAGATGATCCCACCCAGCCTTTTTGGCTGGTCAGACTTCAATCCGGACGTCCGCGTTGCTCATATTCGCTGTGGACTCAGCCACTTTGCGGCACTTACAAGTAAGTTTCTGGTCCTGCTGTCACGGAGAATTCATGTTGCCATGTTACTGGCATCTTTTACTGTCTTTAAACTTAAAGCACACTGGAATGCAATAGGCGGGGCGGGCAGCATGTTTGCAGGTGTCAGCATGGTTTCTAACTTATGCTTGAATTAATAAAGTGTTACTCTTTTAAAGCAAACAAAAAAGTCTCAAACAGGAAACCTAGGAAAGTTTCTTAATTATTTGTGTGGAATCAGTTAATCAGTTGCACTTTAGAAGCAGCAGGAACTTATGGGATAAAGGAACAAACTAAACCAGAGTCTAAACTGGAGCTAAATGTCAGGGTTCCTTGGCTCTTCTGACCGATGGAGTTAGCAAGCTGAAGCGGGAAGACCTACATATTTCTGATGTGAAGGGTACGATACATCAGTATGGACACCCTCTACTTGGTACCAGCTTTGGAGGGGCTTTGAATTTGAAAGTAATTTAAAAATGGGCAGCAGAGGGCAGCAGCACAGAAAACCCATGTACTTGGCAGTGACAGTAACAGTTTACTAAGGAAAAGCACTTGGTCCTTCTTGGGATGCGGTGTGCGCAGCGGTGGCTGCCTGGGTACAGGGTGCTGGTCACTGCTCTCCCCCTGCTGTTCCGGAAGCTTTAGAAACTGTTCTCATTAAATTGTACTTGGTTATAGATCGTGGTTTGGTTGTGTCTGCTGTGGGGCTGATCTGAACGCTTCTGAGATCTGCATCTTTTGCTGTGGAGCTTAAAAGTCTCCAGCTCGGTTGGACACAAGTTTTTCCTTGTCATTACAAAATCACTTCTGCCAGGGAGCTGCATAACCAGGCGCCTGGTGATGGCTCGGGACGGATTTCGCTGCCTCACTTACCCAGTTTGCTGGTGTGGATCAGATGTACTTTTCTAACTTCCAGCACAAATTATTTGCTTCATTACAAGTGATTCATAGAATCCCAGAACGGTTCAGGTTGGAAGGGACCTTGAAGACCATCTCGTTCCAACCCCCTGCATGGGCAGGGACACCTCTCTCCCACCAGCCCAGGTTGCTCCAAGCCCCGTCCAACCTGGCCTTGAACCCCTCCAGGGATGGGGCACCTGCAGCCTCCTTGGGCAGCCTGTTTCAGTGCTTCACCGCTCTTGTGGTGAAGAATTTTTTTCCTTATATCTAATCTAAATCTACCCTCTTGCAGTTTCAGGCCATTGACCCTTGTCCTATCACTACAGGCCCTTGTAGAAAGCCCTTGTCCAGTTTTCCTGTAGGCCCCTTTTATGTATTGGAAGGCTGCTGTCTGGTCACCCTGGAGCCTTCTCCAAAGGTTCCCTGGAATCTCTTCTGCTCTACTCTTTCTTCAAATAAAATTCCAAAGCAAGAGCTGTGAGAGGGGGAGGCAAAGACTCGTGCCCAGAACTTGCTGCTTGTCCTGCTCATTAGGCATCATTTTCCCCAACCACAAGTGCATTTATTGTAACTGGAACTAAACTCGAGGGCTTTCATACTGCGTGTATAACCCTTTGTGCTCCCAGAAGCACTCTAGCCACACTTGCCAGCATCACAGATAGAATTCTTCCTTTTTAATGACTTTGTTCTCTTTTTTTCTTTTTATTCTTTTTTTTTTTCCCTCCCTGTATAGACAGAGGAGAACTGTTTGTGTGGGGCAAGAATCTAAGAGGGTGCCTTGGAACTGGAAGAATGGAAGACCAGTATTTCCCGTGGAGGGTAAGGATGGTAGTATTAAGACCAATAATATCTTGTTTAGCTATTCTGTTACCCTCAGGGCAAGAAACACCATTTGCTGTGTAGTTTTGTTGAGTAATTTTGAAAGAAGTGGAAGCCTAAGATGTCTGTAGAGCTGCTTTGATTTGCAGAGATCCTTCCAGAGCCTGCTTAGGGCTGGAGGTACTCAGTAAATTTTTAGTCTGATATTTCAGTATTTGGAACTTCAGATCCCAAAGCAACAGCCAATCCTGTACCATCAAACCTGAATGGTTGTCTCCTCCGTGTCCACCTTCTCCTGCCTGCCAGCCCCTACTGTCTCTCCCTCCTCATTCTACCTTTTGTAGGAGCTGGGAGAGAAACCCCCCAGTATTGGTTTTCTGTGACCTAAAGGACTTGCATCACATGTCTAAATGAGGCGAACATCTTGGCCGTGGTGGTCGGCCTGTAGTGGCAGCAGACCCACGTAGCAGTGGGCGTCCTTCCCCTGCTCCTCTGCCAAGTCAAGCAGCCATGGCGGTGGGTCGCTGGGCTGAGTGTGTCATTCCAGTAGGAGATCCTTAGTCACTGAACTGTTTTCCTGGCTGTTTCGCAACACTTCCAGTTCCACTCCCTTCTCACGTGGGTCTGAGAGCCAGACTCTGGGGGTGTGGAGGAGTCTTTGGCTCTGGAGTTCAGCACTCAGCCTAACAGATGTTCCCGGTCTCCATGAAGGCCAAGTAGGAGAGGAGGGAGGCAATCAGTGGGACCACCCTGGAGTCCCTTTCTTTGTGCCTGAACTTGTGGTGGATGTGTTTCTTTAGCATGCTTTCTCCTCCTAAAAATGAACAAAAAAAGACCAACCCTGGGGCATTTGCCTAAAACCCCAGTGCTGTGGCTCAGTGGAGTTTCTGAACTCCTTGAACAGGGCATGACCAGGTTTCCCCACGTGTGGACAGAGCAGGTTGTGCCAGCCAGCCCCCTCCTGACACTGCCCAGACAGTGCAGCAAAGCGAGCACAGTTAGCAGGATCCTCTGTGACCTCCTGCCCTGGAACTACCCGTCTGTCCTCTCCCCTAGCTCTAAGGAAACACTTGGGTTTGTAGCCTCTGCGTTTGAGGTCAGGTGTGAGTGGCGGAGCTGTAACTACGCCAGTGATGAGCTGGGTCTGCTCAGCATCAAAGCGAAAACTGCCTTAGGCCGAGTCGAGCTTTTGGCTCGTTCCGGTCCTTGCCAATGAGAGAAGAGGCAAATCCTTGCGGTGCTTGGGCAGCTCCTCGTCCTGCTGTCTGGATGACGCTCCGTTCGGTCGTGCTGTTTCTGCTGCCGAACAGATGGGCTGAGGCTGCAGGCTCGCGAGCCCGCTCTTTCTGTCCTTCCAAAGGCTTCTGTGAAGGGAGAAGGGGGAGCGTTTCACAGCTCGATGCACAAGCGTGTCTGGTGCTCAGTCTTGCTTTCTCTGGGTTTTCAAGCTGGCCCTTTCATTGGTACCTGTGAAACCAACTGGCATGTTAAGCAGAAGGGGGAGAGAAATAGGCAACGCCAGGTGCAGGGTACCAGCTTGAGAAATAATCTGCTCTTGTGTGTCTGATCCAGGTGACCGTACCCGGGCAGGTGGTGGATGTTGCGTGTGGAGTCGATCACACGGTCAGCATGGTTAAGTCTTTTACCTAGTACCGTTGCTGGGCCTCAGCACTGTGCTAAGAAGACGAGGAGATTTCATGATGAGCTTCCTGGAAGGGAAGACTCATTCCGTGAAGCCAAACCAGAAGTGACTGTGAGCAGAAATGGCCGTAGCAACGCCTGGGCGTGTTGTCATCTGCCTCGTTGAAATGCTGCAGCCTGGCTGGAAGTACATTCCCTGAGGAGAGTGGAAACGCAGGGAGTGCTCTGTCGGGTTCATGGTGAGCCCCCAGAGAGTCTGAGCCCCAGCCCACAGCTGGTGCGTCCCTCTGTGCCTGGGGATAGCGAAGACTGGCATGAGATGAAATCTGTAGCACAAGACGTTTCACTTAGGGACATTTTCCCTGTCACCAGCTCTGGCGTGTCAGTGTTGGGCCGAGCCAAGCTACATCTCAGGGGAAGGAGAGTCTCTGCACTCTTCAGGGCTATGCTGGCTCTTGGTCCCAGAGAGCCCGTTTCAATGAGCCAGGCTTTTCGGCAGTGCCTGCCCAGGGAAGGAGTCTCAGTGGGCAAGAAACGGAGCCTCGTTTCTCCGTACCTGCTTGGCAGAGAAGTTGTGGTGAGCGCATTTAGGACACAGTGAGCTGATGGAGAAGGGGATGCAGCAGCTCTATGTACTTCCCAAATCTTGCACTGATGTGTGGGAAACTCACCTGTGAAATACTCCAAACATTAGGCAGAGTTACGTGGTTTCCATCTGCGTGAGTTATTTCTACTGAGTAAATTATTTTGGCAAAATCCAAGCTTATGTGTTTTTAATGAAGTGATTATATATAAAGTGTATCAGTCATAATGGGTGTGTTCTTGAGCTTCACCTCACACATGAGCTGCTCTCCCTTGCGCTCTGTGGCTAAACTTCAGCATTTTGGTTTACGGGGATGTGACAGGGACCCTCTTCTGTCAGCTGAGACCCCCCTGCACCTGCAGGACCGGTGCCCTTGGAGGCAGGCCCAGTGTCTGTGACCACAGGGGACATTGCACACTCCCATTTTAGCTCCATTAGCTGAAGTTCTGTATCAGATGTGTTGTGTAATTACCAGAAGTCGGGGGAGTTCAACTGCCTGGATGAGGTCAATCTTGAAGGGCTTTGCATAAAACACAGGAAAGGTGAAACTGCACAGAGACATGGAGACCAGTCGTTATTACCGTCCTGTGTGTCTGGTACCGCTGGGCTGGGCTGAAGCAGAAGCAGAAAGCTGCCACTAATTGGCGGCAGACTTTCACTGCTGTGACTTCCCATTAAGTTAGCCTTAATCTCTACTTTATGCTGTGTGTGACTCTGGCACCTTGAGCTGCCCCAACATGTCTTGGTGCCCTCGTAGGAGCAGCTGTGTCCTTTTAACATAAGGAAGCTTATTAAAGCATTGCAAACAAATACAAAGCTCTGGTGAGAAAGGTGTTGCAGATAATTCCCTCTGTGGCTGTTGCTGTTGGCGGAGCACTGCAGGTGCTTAGCCACGCTCCTTCACAACGTCCCTGCTGCAGCTCGGGGCTGGGCCTTCTGCAGAGCTGGGAAGAGAATTAAGGCCGTGTCATTGTCCTTGTTGGTGTTGCAGTCTTGCTGTGCTATAAATTGCAAAAGCTGTGTGTTAATTAGATGCCAGCAAGGTCTTTAGCCTTGAATGGAAGTGTTGTACAGCTTAATGGGGGGTTTGGGGGGGGGTGTGGGTTGTTTGCAGCAGCTGTGGGCATCAGACCTGCTGCTTGATGGGAACGAGGGCCTGCAGCCCCCATCGCTGCCCCGTGCTTCGGTCATGGCAGTGGGGTTGGCCTTGGCTGGGTGCCCACTGTCACCCCTCCCATCAGCAG